AGAGTGAATGGTTGTTGTCCATGTGTCCTGTGATGGACTGGAGACCTGTCCAGGATGTACCTGGCCTCTCGCACACTAGTGGTTGCTGGATATGGGCACCAGTGATCCCTGTGAAAAGAAGAATTGAGTAAGAGATAATGGATGGATGGCACAGTATTTACAGTATTATGCTCCAGCAGCTAGTGTTGTAGTCAAGACCACCTAACCCGAGACCAAGTCAAGACCAAGACCGGAGTGTACCAAGACAGAGACAAGACCAAGACTTTTGGGGTCCGAGACCAAGACCGAGGGAGAGTGAGACTAAGTCAAGATCAAGACCTCAAGTCTTGGAGCTCAATCTTTTCACAGATTATCTGTATCGGCTTACTTTCACTTCTGATTGCAACATTACATTCTGTTGTCTGTATTGTTCTGTTGGTACGGAACTACGTTCAAGTGAAAAGCGGTGGGTGTGACAGCGGTAACAAAACCATGCATTTAGCAATGAGTCACGTTATCGCTTGAATTGGATTCAGTACGTTTTGCATACAATAAAAACAAGGATGACAAATAAACTGGACAATATTCTCACAATTTAATGATATTTCCACAGTTGTGGTCGTGACTGGTCTTGAACCGAGTCCTCGTTGTCCGAGACCGAGACAAGACCGAGACCAAATGCGGTTGAGTCCAAGACAAGACCAAGACCATCAAAAAATGGTCTTGAGACCGGTCTCAAGACCAAGACCGGTCTCAAGTACTACGACACTACCAGCAGCCATGGTCCCCAAACAGAAATTCTCTAAACTGGTTTGTTTTTCAGTCACCTGGCCTCGTCTTCTCCCAGGGTTTTCTCGCTTCTGGGAGTTGTAGTAAATGTTGTGTTATCCACCTTATAGCCCCCATGCTGCCTTACGTGAATTATGGGAGCGACTTCCAGCGACCAGAACAAGCATTTGTTTATGTGCTAACAGTACGAGCTATTGTACTGGTAGTTTCTCTGAGCATTGGGGATTTCATTTAAACATGTAGGAACACCACCTGTCAAAGCTCAAACGGGATCACAAAATAATCATACTGCTGCCTGCTGCGGACGAGTGATGGGAGTACAACCTGAAGAAGTGGCCACAGATACATATTCTAGCAAATTTAGCTTCATTGACTCAGTTGCTTCTGACAGTGAAGCGATGAACAACCTGAAAAGCTCTGAGGTGTATTAGTATCTACACATAATGTCAGTTGGGTTTTGTTAAAAGAGGTGGGACACAATCTTATTGACCTTAAAGCAGACATGGAGCCCAGCCAATGCCTTAAAGTCCTCCATCACCGAGCTTGGGTTAATCGCAGAGAAAATCATAATACCAAAGACGAACAAATACTATAATGCTGTGCCCTCCATTCACTTGAAATCAGACTTGATATTCTTGTCATACTGTTTTCAATCCTTCTGAGGATTTGGCATCTTTTCTCCGGTGGTTTATTGAAGTCCAGCCACAAAGTAGGAAGCAGGTTTTCCTCCATCTGCCGTTTGTCAACAAAGTGAAATGAACACAGATTGGGTGGTCTTCAAGTTCACATTTTTCAGACACATTCTTCTTAATTCCTCATCTGTAGGTAGGTGATGGAAACCATACCGCTTTTCACAGGAACACTCTTTTTGTTTTGGGTCTGTGTTGAAAACTCTGTTGTTGTAGCCACTGATTTAGTTTGGTCTGGTTGTTCCTGCGGCTGCAAACACAACAGCCTGAACTCAGCAAGGCTAGATTAGTAAACTTTACAGTTATTAAATACATGTAAATAAAACAATACCAGGGTTTTATCTGCTAAATTGAATGCAAATTACTTTCGAATGAACCGCTGTCCGTGCTCTGCTACCATGGTTAGCAAATGCTACTGCTACGTTCAGTGTCTGACAGGAAGTTGTAGTTGTACCCATAATCGTTTATACAGTAGAGCCCCCAGGAATAAGGTGGATATAGCTTGTTTTCTTTGTTAACCCTCTGTTACCTCAAGGCTGTAAAGCAGTTTACCTTTCGTCACAGTGTTTCATGACAGCTTTACAACAGAGGGGAAAAAATGTTTTTCTGTCCTAAATATGTATTCCAGTCTCGTAACTTGTTGGGTAAAAACACCATCCATCCATTATATTTACCTATTTCTTCCTTTTTGGGTCGCAGGGGCCACTAGTGCCCATATCCAGTTATCACTGAGCGAGAGGCAGGGACACCCTGCATGGGTCTCCAGTCCATCATAGGACACATATAGACACATGAGACCAACAACCATTCACACTTTTTATCACACCCAGGGACAATTTAGAGTTGCCAATCAGCCTAAAGTTTTTGGACTGTGGGAGAAAACTGGAGTACCCGGAGAAAACCCATGCATGCACGGAGAGAAAATGCTTGTTTGTGCGAGGTGTTTTTTAATATTAGAGGTTCTTTTTTCTCAGGCAAGAAAAAAAAAGTCTGATAGGAATTTTTTCGCCTCCAACTCCTACATGTGTCCAGTTTACCACTGTTTTTGTCTGCCCAAACAAGTCTCACTTGTAAATGAGTCTTTGAGGCTCAATGTGATTTATCTGTTTAAATAAAGGTTGAATTAATGCAAACTCCGCCCAGAAAGGTCCCGGGCTTGGATTTGAATTGACAACCTTCTCGCTGAGAAGCAACAGCTCTACCAACTAAGCCACCATGCCGCTCGGGTAAAAACACTCAATTTGAAAATATGATCTTTAAAGTTTAATAATTATTTTGTACCGTTGTAGCTATATGCTGTTAATTGGATTTGGTGTTTTATCACAGAAAAATGCACAAACTGTTCATGCATCAGTTCTGGCCCTTGAACATCTTTGGTGTTTAACGATCCTTTTAAGATGCACATAATGAACTCTGCAGCCATTTGCTTTGTTCTTACAGAAAATCAACATTGCAGCAGATTATGTGACTGCAGAAAAGTGTGGGCATAGCAAAGAACACCTGCTCGCTCTCTTTTCTTGCCACCTTAAGTCTTTTCTGGATCTGAAAATAATTAATGAAAAAAAAAACAACAACAAAGTAATCAATTTTTAAATGACTTTCTATTAACTTATCTAATCTAATAAAGCCACATCTCAATAAACAAATAAATCAATAACCAAGTCAATCAGTTCACCACCTCTTGATTGTTTTGTCCAAAGCCTAAATCAATAAATCTTTGCGTCATAAAAAGCTTCTGACTCACTGATGCAGATCTGAAAGCAGTTCCATTTATCTTTGGCTGAAGCTTCAAAACAATTACTTCTATGGATTTCTGGAGAATGTGACATCAGTGTCTGTTGGGAACAAAAAACGGTCCAATGGATTTACAAGAATTAGTTTATACATGCAGGAGAGTGGCTGTTTTTCAGTACAGCAGTCTTTCCAGGAAATGTTTCATCAGACAGAGACATACCATATCATTAATTTCCCATCAATGAAAAGATGGGAAAAATGGGAAAGAAAAATTCTTAAATGTATATCCATTTCTTCCATGTTTTTTTTCAGTTTTCTGCAAATCACACTTTCTGTCCATTCATGGCGCAAAGGAGTTTCTCAAGGAAGAACGTCTCTTTGCGTATGTTTCGTTGTTCAAATTTTAATAATTGTTCATTTATTTAGTTATATAAAAACACCAACACGAGCTTTTTCCAATCCTATTGCATGGGTCTATAAATAATGTATCAGAGGTGGAAAATTTCTGGAGATGTCCACATTCCTAAGTGTTTGATCTTGTCATCTGTGGCTTTAAGGTCCCACTCAAAGCCCCTGCTGACAAACAACCCTATAACTGCTGGGTTTCTGGGAAGCACTTTGATGTGGCTACAAGGTAATGAGAGCAGCTTATAAGAAAGTCAGCAGGAAGCCTCCTATAATGAGGCAAGTGTAGATCCTGTCTTTAAAAGCAAAATTCAAACAGTGTCATATTCAGCTCGTTGGATTCATGGGCTTGAGTATTTAATTTAAAAGGTTTCTGTTCAAATGTAATCAATGACTTTAGTGGAGAATAGTTTGGGGAGTGAAATGCTGGTTGATCTGGTTAAATACAAAACTGCGTAAGTGATTTAAAACGTAAGACACAACATTTGCAGGTACATATACATAAATGCTTTTTTTGGACAGAAAAAAAAAATCTGTAATATTAGAAAAATAAATCATTTGAAATATCAAAGTGCTAAAACAACAAGAGTTTTTGTTTCCATCTGTTGTATGAATTAGTCTCCGTTTAGAAACACGGGGATGTTCAAACATCACCCATTTAAAAAAGTTTAAAAGACATTACAGTAAAAAGTATTTGTTCAATGTTAATGTAATTATGAATGTGTTTGTGTGTGTAGATGTGTGTTTATTGACATGTATATCAAGTTCAAGTTCAAGGCACTTTATTGTCATTCGCATCACATGTGGTACATGAGGTTGAACGAAATTGTGTACTCAAGGTCCCAGTTACACTCAAATATAGCAAAAGTATAAAGTATAAAAATATATTCGTGCAACTTAGTTCGCTGTGGCGACCCCTGAAGAAGGGAGCAGTCGAAAGAAGAAGAAGAAAAAGTACAAAATTAAATTGTATATAAGGATCGAAGATGATATACACTAAACAATACATTAAAAGATCTGAGATACAGTATACGCTAAATACTAATAATGTAAAAGGCCCATGCCTCTCTTGCAAAAGAGATATGTGATCTCATTGGGATTTGCCTGGTTAAATGAACGTTAAATAAATAAATAAAATAATATTGTACATTAAACAGCAGCTCAAACATGAATCTGTAGTGAGTAGATGGGTATGAATGAATACAACAGCATGAGATAATCAGAAAAATGCTGGGAGAACTAGATGGCAATTACTTTATGTAGAAATATGAGAAACAGGAAGAAGATTGTTTGTATTTCATTGGTTATATAATACCATATATATATTTATATATATAAAAAAAAATTTTGAAAGATTTTTATTTAATGCGTTTTGCTTTATATTAGAAATAAACTAATCATTCAATTAAATTGGAACGCTAATTTGCCGTATTACTCCTTTAACAATTGGAACAGTCCATTTCTATCTAAAAGGGGGGAGGCAATCAATACCTTTGTCAGGTTTCATCAAAAATAACAGAAAAAGTACATCTTATAACACATTTACTTTGTTATTTTTAAACTATTTTCCTAAATAAACTCTTGTCTTACAGTAAAAAACCCATTTAGGTTGTTTAATATTGTCACAAAAATCTCGCTTCCCCCTTCGTAGCCTTTCTATATATAGTAGCAGCGTTGATTAGCCAGTCGCGGCATTGTTTGGCAGATGTGTGCAGCTCTGTCCTGTCGGTCGGTGGATTTTAAAGGGCGGCGGTTTAAAGCCGAGGAAAGGCAGCGATGAGGAGAAATATGTCGGTGTGAGGACGGTTCTTTCACGACAGAGAAGCTCGCATCGGTAAGTTTCTGTCCTGCTGCGGACCAACAGACGAGGTCCTTTCTGTTCACGAAAACCCGTTCGAGTAAAAATGCCAAACAATTCAAGAAAGCCTAAACAAGTCAGGCTATTTCGACTAATGACAGCTAAATAAACAGTTAGAAGAGATGAGTTGTGTTTAATTAGGCGTATGAAAAGGCTAGGCTTATGTTTTGTTGCTAACTTAAAGGAGAAACATGAAACAGTCCAATTAATCCGCTATTCGGGGGGCGGCTACTTACTGCTCACACAAACGGGCCTCGGCTAATTTCTGTGTCCAAAAAAAAAATCCCCTCTCTGAACGTAACAGACGTCTGTATTGTTTGTTTGTCAGAAATACCTTTAACTGTTTGTTGGCCGCCTTATTTCACCCTGCCATGCCTCTGTGGATTAATGTGGACATTTAGGGGCTTGACTTCTTTCAGGAGCTCCAGCAAAGATCATCACTAATAATGGCAGTGAATGTGAAATCATCAGATTGTTTGTCTGGATGCAGATAAAACCTCTTTAATTCTTCCACAGTAACTTCACCGAGAAATACCAAAGTGTATTTCAGCTAGTGCTAAAGCTAGTGATGCATATTTCTGTAAAATGACCCCTGCACATTTACTATGCATTGAATAATATTAGTTGGTAAATCATATTTTATGAGTTTCAGATATGTGCTTCCCACAGAATAGCTACAGGTTGACCTATTTGTGTAAAAACAACTTGCACACAATGTTTATTTTTTTTACTAAAAGGTTACATATTTAGACTTTTAAAAATAAATTAGGTGCAAGATTAACAGTTTTGGAGCCAAAGTCTATTACTGTTTGTTGTGACCACGAAAAATTATAGAGAAAAACTAAAATGGGAAATAATTTCACCAAAGAGGATTTGGTGACAGAAATAAATGCACCTTCACGTGTATAAAGATGTTTCAGCCATTTCAGCTTTTCAATTCAGTTTATTTATATAATGCCAAGTCGCAACCGAAGTCATCGCAGGACACTGAACAGAAACATTCATGTATACAAAAAGTATATTAATAAAATTATCTGATGAGCAGACTGCTTTGAGCTTAACTTTGTCACGGACTCTCATCTTGAGCAAGCATGAAGGCGACAGTGGAAAGGAAAAACCCCCTCATGAGGAAGACCTCTCAAGCAGAACCAGGCTCAGGACAAGTGGTCATCTGCTTCGACCGGCTGGGTTTGAGACAACAGGAAGTAGGAACGGATACACAATGGCAGGTCGAGAATCGCGTTAAGATGGAAATAATATCAAATAAACGATTCAATTTTAACAACAAAGTCCATGCTCAATAATCCAGGTATACAATCCAACATTTTTCAGTCAGGCCATCTGGACAGTTTTTTTTTTTGTGCTGAAACGTTTCG